GGTGACGACGTTTTCTCCTCAGTCAACAACTCACGAGATTAAAGTTGGTTGGCTGCAGTTCTCGTGGGACAATTTTGAGACAAGGACGGGCATGTGAGGCAACTAGCCGGTAACAACGCTCTGAGAAGCAATCAAGACAGAGACTCGCAACCCATCGTTGAAGGTTCTGGCAGAAAGTCGAACAGTAGTGGTCACAGACAGACGCCGAAATGCAGCAAGAAAACGTCTCATGGATGCGTGCACATTCCGCCCCCAAGGTAGTGAGGAGATGCAGGCCGCACCTCTGCACCTCTCGGGTCCAAGGACGTGGGCTTGAGACATTGGTGTGATAGCGTCAGATGCCACTGTCAGTTCGCACTGGAGCGGTAATCTTCGGGCGCACGGGTTGCCGATGAGTAACTCTGGATCGTCTCAATCTGTGAAGAGGCGCGCTTGCAGATGCTCGGGGCAGAGATTCTCAAATTCCTTTGAGACGGCAGGGTCGGGGGGCGGCAGCGGGCGACCACGCCGAGTGGAATGAAACAATTCCCGAGATGGTTGAGGTGCTTCATTGTCGCAGGGTGTTTGCTTTCTGCCTTTCTACCCTGGTGGTGGCTTAAGCTCAGTGGAAGTGGCGGGTTCCTCGGTTCGTTGTCGAGGTTCGTCGGCCTCTGATTTGCACGAGCTAATCCGGCGCTCGATGGTGGTGTTGGATCCGTAAGGACATCGAGTCAACCACGCGCAGGCAGGCTGGAAGCAAGCTTACCCGTTCCCCTCCCCCGGTCGCGAGGCGAGAGGTGAGAATGACGGATGGCAGCGGGGTCGGATGAGCAGACCAGCCAAAACGAGACGAACCGACCCAAACCGGCCAGAGAGGGGACGACGACGATACGACGATACGGGGCCAACAGACGGCTCAGACTGAAGCAGGCTGGCGGATACCACGCACATACGAGAAAATGGCGATTTGGGTGCGTCGATATTGGCGCCGCCATGCTGCTGCGTTCCTTAGTCAGGAACACTGGATAGAGCATCACACCCTCTCAAAGGAACTTGAAAGAACCCGTCACCAGAGAGCCGTCAGACTCGACATCGTTCGGGGGCGGTTGGTCGGTTGGGTGTAGTGTAGTAAGTGTGGTGGGATGCCAGGTGGGTGGACGAGGTAGACCAAAAGTACCGATAGTCTGAAGTGTATGACGAGTGGAGAGCCGATGTGAACAGGTGGATGGGCCGGACGACAAGCCGATCCATTCCTTCGGACAATTGTTGGACTTGGGTACAGCAGTCACTGCAGCGAAATGCAGCTGAGGTGCAGCGAGCCAGGCCCCGCGAGGAGAGATGACTGCGTTGCGTAGCGTAGCGTAGCAGCTGCTCTGCAATGGTGGTGCGAAGTCGGCCAAGCGAGCTAGCCGGTTGGCGATGGCGATGGCGGTGGTATTGCGGTCGGAGTCACAGCAGAGTACCCAAAGAACGTGTGGTGGTAACAGCAGGAAGACTTTGATGGTGCTGATGGTGACAGAATGACAGGAGACGCAGAGATGAGACAAATCCCCGACTTCATTGGAGAAGGCGAGAGACATATCTCAGCCACACGATGGGAAGGACCCACTTCTCGTTACTGCAGATGGCAGTAGCACCTCACATTTGGCATGCACCAAGATGGAGCTTGATTAAATCCTTTTCTTTTCTCTGTGTCTCTTCGTTTCTTTCTTTTTTGGTCGTTATCGAGAGCCTTGCGCACGGCAATCGGGTTTCCGTCTGAGAGCAACTCCTGACTCGGCCGTCTCTTCGGGTTCTGTTCCGGCTTGGACCCTCGTTGACCCCTTTGACACACACACTCTCTCTCTGTGTCTGTTCAGGGACACATTAAAGTTGTCAAATATTGATTTGGGCAGTGTGTTAATATCGGGCTACTTTCAAGCAAGGGCGAAGGCGCCCGTCTCCGGACTGCTTCGCATATTGCGCACAGCTCGACATGTTCGCCCGAAGCATGGATCAGGCTGCATGTCAGGACGAGTCAAGACGAGCGTAGAGTAGGATCGTCGAGGCCGTCCGTGTCCCGTCCGCGCGCCCAGACCCTACTTGACCCTTTCCCCTCGAGAGACTGTTGCGCCTGTCTTGGACGGTGCATGGCAGAGGAGAGACGATTGGGTGGGCTGTCTGTTCTGAGGATATGGGTCGCCGGCAGCTGGCTCGCAACGAAATAACAGGGTTTCATCTCATGATTAATCATGTAAAGCTCGCTGATGTGGCTTGACGAGGAGGATGCAAACTCTCCCTCCCTTGCTTACTGTTGGCTCACGACGACTTTGCCAATGGGCGCGACAGAATGGACCACGGCGCTCTAGACTGAAGACAATTGCAAAGTGCGTGCATCTGCAGGCATTGCATGTCCCGATGGGAGGCAGTGAAGGAGATTGGCTTTAGCTCCGTTGGGGGTTTCCTGTTTGTTTTTCCTTGCACCTGTGCTTCCTTTTTTCGACGTTTGCCATTCTTTCCCCCCTCTGTCTCCCTTGCGTCTGGCTAGCGGTTTGCCTGGCGGGAAAAGGCGCGGTGCGAGTGCAGTGCGGTGCGATGCGATGCCTCTTTTGAGCGTCCGATCTGCGACTGTCTGCAGGTCTGAGTAAGACGGGTGATGGACCATCGTCTTTTTAAGTCTGATGTGAGCTGCGCCGTTCTACTGCTGCTGCTGCTGCTGTTGTTGTTGCCGGCGTAACCCACCTTGAACTTTTTTTCTTTCTTTTTTTTCTGCAAGGGCTGGTAGGGTCAGGGTACATAGCCAGTGTAAGTAAGCAATGCTGAAGGTGCTAAGTGTTACCAGGCTGTCCAACGTGCCGGTCCTGGCCGAGAAGTTTTCTAGGATTGGAATCGTGTCGCTGCATGTATTCGTATGTATATTCATCATCACACTGATCAGTCATGACTGCTCGGGATGCATGTACTTGAAGAGTATGTGGGAGGGGACGGACGGACGCACAGCTCGGATACGCAGTCTCATTGCTGGTCTCATCAGTGTTGGGTTAGCAAACATTCTTCTTCCTGCCGGAGAATGGATGCCACAGCGGGATCGTCGACCCACCACTGCTGCAGCAGCAGCATCTTGTTAGTCAACCCAGTGACAGTTACGCCCCCCGAATGCGACGGGACGGGACTGGACCTGTTCTCGCACAGGCACCACTGGAGGCGTCCCTCAAGCTTTCAAGCTATGTTGATACCTTGTCTTGACACCACCAATGCATGCGCTTCCGTCGGTCCTGTTGCAGTGGGGTTTCGCCGTGAGGTCAAGCTGCATGAAAGGCGCCAACGTGTGGACTGTGGAGGAAGTTGGCGATGGCCTGCGAGTCGCAAGTCGGTACGTGTGTTGGTGGCTCTCTGGATTCTCATTCGATTTACACGTGTAGAGAGAGACCTGGATAGGCTGGTGATGGTATCCGCAACTCAGCTGGGAGAGTTTGGCACCGCCCCAGATTTACGTACCTCGGGACGCCAGAAGAGGCCATGGGCCAGCCTCAATCGGGCCAGGCTTCTCGATTTCGCACTCGGCCTTGCCTGATTTGAAGCCGTCGCCTCCGGCTCGCAAAAACGTGGATAGCGCCAGCAAAGGTGGACTGAACTGGTGGACTGGGACTGGATTGTTGAAGTGTCTCTAAAGACTGGTACACTACACAAATACTTGAAGATCACGTCGTTTTGCCCCTCCGATGTTCCTGACCCTAGTCTCACATTTTCTTTTCTTCTTCTCCTCTTGCTTCTAGGTACAAAGGCATCTTTCAAAATACTGCTGAACCGGCCGGACTCACCTCCTTATTGTCCCCTAGGTACCTTACCAGGCACCTTACCGGCTGTTTAAGTGCAAGCGTCGGCAAGAGCCTTGCCCTGCGCCTGCCTGAATATCTGCCCTGCCTGCTACCTAACGCACCTACCTAGGTTACTCCGTACCTACCTAGTATGGTATTGGCATAGGATTGCCATTCACCTTGCTTCCACCCTCAACAAGCCTCACTCAGTCAATCCCGTGGCTCCCGACTTTGGAGCTCAGACACGCCTAGCCCCAGTCTTGCCAGCAACAAATATTTGCCAACACCACGAGAGGCAAGAAACAAGAAAAATACAACAAGAAAAGAAAACACCACCACTGCCGACCGAATTCCCTCGTTCTCACGCCGTTGCTCACTTCTCTCCAACTGGCTCTTTGTCGGCCCTCTCTCTGGCCTGCTGCTACCACCAAGTACCTACTGCATAGTAGCTGCGCAGTAACTGGCACCCGGCCTATCCCACCTGGGCCTGGTCCATCTGAATTCTGGTCCGGCGCCGTCAACGAGCCAGGGGACAGGGATCGGCCTTCTCCTCACATCCTCGTCGCCCACGTCACCTGCGCGCAACCACCACCACCACCACCACCACCACCACCACCACCACCACCCCCAAGACCCAGGACCTTTCCTTCTCTTCCCTCCCTTGTTCGCCCACACGCCCCTCAAGAGAACGACCCAAGACCCGACGACCGACCCAGGCAAGAACCCAAGCCCACACCCACTCCCCGCTTGGCCCATACACCCTTCCCGCTGCCTGCACAACCTGACGCTACGCTGCTTTTTGCGTGGTGATCCGTGAGCCCTGCCACCGTCTTGTACTTGCTGCAGCGCTGCACCTTGCTTGCTGGTGCACCTCAATTCAAAGTACTCAATTCCCAGTACCTCAGAGTGGAGGAGGCTGAGTTGACCCGGTGGACCTGAATGATCCTGTCTAACAAAGCCCAATTCGTCCCCCAAATTCTTGATCCTGATCTATCCTGCTTCTCTTCTTCAACTTCTTCCCATACCGGCGGGATCCAGAGAGAAAGCAGGTCTTTTCTGCTAATAGGTGTTGGTGGTGAGAAAGCAACACCACAGAAGCGATCGACGAATGTCGCTGTCGTCGCTACCCCGTCTCCATCTGCGAACGGGGCTCAGAAGACATCACCAACGCCCTCGCCCATAATACCCGACTACACCACCACGCCACGAACCGCACATCGGACCATGCAACGGGTCTCGAGCTTCCTCCCGTCTTGGGAGGCCAGGAGGAGGAGCAACGCCAGCACCACGAGCAACGCCCGAAGCAGCATCATCACGGCAAACAGCAAATCCCCCCTCGAGAAGGTTTTCCGCTGGTCCACCAAGCCCGCCCCTCTCACCACCACTGCTCTTGCCACGGCTGCCTCACGTATTGGTCGTGAGGCTTTCTGGCCAGCAACCCTCGATGCGGAGTGCGATCGTGCCGCCCGCATTTTGAAATCATTTTGCTGTAAGTGGCTTCATTTTACCGTTCCCGCCTCGCCCGTTACATGGTGCACCCGTTCACTAACACCATTTCGCTTGCAGCCGACGGCTTCCTCGCGCCCCTGCACGATCAGCCCGACCGCTCATCGGCCCTCACTGAGCCCCAAACACCAATTCGGATTTTCAAGAAAATTCCTCCGAGGATTATTCAGAATGCTGCAGGCATTGCGATCTTCACTTGCATGCGATCGGGCCTGTGGATGACGGGGTCTGGCGGCTCAGGCATCCTGATCGCCCGCAAAGCTGACGGTACCTGGTCACCACCCTCTGGAATCGTGCTGCACACCCCGTCGCTGAGTTTCGTAATGGGCGTCGACATTTACGACTGCGTACTTGTCATTAACAACATCGCTGCCCTCGAGCAGCTAATTACTCAACCTACTATTACTTTGGGCGAAGACATTGGCCTCACAACTGGCCCGTTAGTCGCACTGGAATCTACAGAGGTCGACCCGAAATGGAGGGAGCTGGACAACACCGTCTTGACGTACATGAAGGCAAGAGGACAGTCGCAAAACGTCAACTTGACGGGCTGTATCCTGAAGGAGCGTGGAAATGAGAACGAGAGGTTTTACGGATGCAACGTGTCGAGCATGGACATTTGCGCCGGCAATGTGTCTAGGCACGTGGAAGAGACCCGTCCCATGTTCGAGGTCATCAAGGAAGCCGAAGGAAGAATCGACGCGGACCAGGTCATCCTCAGCAAACTCTCGGCTCTACCCGCGCCAGGAGACGCCATCCTCGAGACGCCCAGAGCCTCGCCCGCCTCGCCAAAGACCAAGATTGCTTTCGGAATACCCAACGCTGAGGACCCGGACCCCTTTGGTGTGCTGGCACTCGAGATGGCCGGACTGGAGATTCGCGAGGCCGGAACGCACCAACGCCCGGCAAGTCGCCAGTTTGAGTTCAACCCCACCCCGACCAGCCCTGCCTTCTCAAAGTTCAGCAGACAGAGTGTCGAGACGACAACGACAAGAAGCAACCGGGCCAGTCTCATGTCCACCAAGACGAACCGTACCAAGTTGTCGGAGGCCTTCACTCACACCAGCACGGCCATCACCACCCCCGACACCTCGCCCAGTCAGAGCCAGAGCCAAAGCGAAGACGGGGCTTCCATCCACAGCTTACCTGCACTGAAGGAGCCCGAGGAGATTGACTACACCAAGATTGATTTCACACCCTTACGGCAAATCAGCGGTAGTCACTCGATCGAGGGCACCATCATGACGGACAGCGACGACCACTTGCGAACCGACGTGAGCACCATGGATGATGCGGCGACCAAGGCATCTAGTGTATACACCAAGGACGACGCCAGCATCATCACCAAGCATGACGATGAGATCAAGGAGGAGGCGCAAGATGAGAACGAGGATGATGACGCCGATGACGAGGACGATGAGGACGACGAGGAGGAGGCGGTCATCTTCGAAGTGGCCGAGGTCCAGCCTGCTCGCATGGCTGCCCCGATTCACGCCAAGGGCTCCCTGGTCACGATTCCTAAGAGGATTCCGCCCCCCCTGCCGGCGAGAAGCCCTGCGAGAGGCTCCCGCGCGAGCAAGAGTGAGATGGGAGATGTGAGCCATCTTCACAGCCCACTTCAGTCTTCCTTCACCGCCTCTCCTCGTCAGTCCATTGATTCTAGCTCTATCAGAAGCGAGACGAGCAAGATCCCGTCCATCAAGGAGGTGCCCGCTGAGGATGGGTCTGATGCGGAGAAGGCGAGCAAGACCGATTCCATCATGACGGAGAAGCTGCAAGTGGATGAGTCGGCACTTGAGACCCCCACGGTTCAGGAACTGAACAAGGCCACACCTTTGGCCCCTGGTGCTTTCCCGGACGAGGAAACCGATTTTATGACCCCTTTGGGCAGCCCTTTGAAAGAAGTTTCCAGCATCGAGTTGAGGCATGTTGCCCCGAAGGCGGTTGACGTTGCATGATACCATTCACTTTCTTTTTGCTTTTTGCGTGGCACTAGGTGTGCTACCCAGGAACTTGGACACGCACACTGTCCCATTTTCCTGCTTGAAATTTTCACTGCCAGGCGTTGGGGAAGATTTATGGCTGCAAATTCTGGGAGCAGAATACTCAGCAGTTACTTGCGATGACGAACAACTTTACGACGGTTTTAACAGGCGTTTACGGATTCAAGGCTCAAAATGGCCAAGCACCGGGAGGGTACAACAACACCACAAATGATGATTGGGTACACAGTCTGTACCAGGGGGAAAACGGAACGGTTAACTGGATTGGGGGAGGGACTGTATACCATAGAACCGGACGTCAGCCAAGCAGCCTCAGATGCTGCAGAGGGACATTACTTGGGCTACCGCGGGTTGACTGTGAGGGGCAACCCAACAAGATCGTCCGACAATGGTAGCATAGCCTTACTATGTATTGCATAAAGATAATGTTCAATCATTCAGAACACTCCCCGTCCCATGTTCAAGCCGCACGATGATATGATGAGCCGCAGCTTGCTTAAGCGGAGCTGCTGCTCGATCTTAGAGCCCCATATCTTTTATGACTTTGTAACCGAAGGAAGCTCTTTGAACCATGAAAGCCCCAGATTTTGTGAATCACAAAACTGCCATCACCACCATCATCACCATCATGATTGCTACTCTGGTGTCTATGCCTTGATGTGTGTGCAGTAGCTGCACGGACCGGAAAAACATTGTAGCAAACATGCTGTTTGCACGGACCACCCCAGCAGTTTCTGGCTTCAGTACCACCATTGGCTTTACAGCTGGCGCCAGCAGCTGCACCAGCACCAGCATCAGCTCCCAAGAGGACTCTGCCAGATACGCGTTTCGATCGCGGCCCCAGACACTCGCGCAGGTTACGCCCACGAAGCCTCGAACCCGAGCCACCTACGACGACAATCCAGGCTCTGCCACGCCCTACGACACTCCAGCTCAATCCCGTGCCGCGACAACCCCTCGCGCCGGCAAGATGTCGACCCAGACGGGCAAGTTCCGCGAGGACCAGGTCCTCATCATCTGCCCCGGCAGCCAGACGACCATGGCCCAGCTGGGATGCGGCGAGCTGACCCCGCCTGTCCATCGCATGCCCACGCGCATGTTCAAGGACGAGGAGACGGGCGAATGGCGCCCTTTTCACACCTTCAAGCGCAAGAAGGCTGGCGCCAATGGCGCTCTCGCCATCGACGGGCCGCGTACCGAGGAGGACGACTACGAGTGGGTTGAAGACACAGACTCAAGCGAGGGCGCCATCTACCCTCTTCAAGGTACGTCGTATTGAGCGCGATTGCGATGCGAGAAGGTTTGCGATGCTAACTGAGTGGTTTCTCAGGCGGTCGTATTGCCAACATGGAGGCCTTCCTGGCCTTCCTCGACCATGTTCACAGCATGCTCACGACCACCTACCACAACACTCCCATTATGCTCATCGCCTCGCCCCAATGGACCCGCCCCGACAACGAGACGATTGCGCGCTACATATTCGAGAAGACACGAACCCCGGCCTTGTGCATGATGCACAGCGGCATTGCCTCCCAGTACGGCGTCAAGTGGCCGAACGTGACTGTGGTGGACATTGGCTACGAGAAGGTCGACGTAAGTTGCATACACGACGGTCGCGTGGTCAGCTACGGCGAGCTGGGCGCCCCGAATCCCGAGCGCTTCATCTCTGGCGGTGAGATCTTCACGCGCAAGTTGGTCGAGAAGCTCAAGAGCAAGGACTTCACCTACGACATGGCTGAGCAGCTGAAGAAGAGCCACGTCTGCGAGGTTCTCCCCTATGCGCCCAATAAAGCGAACCTGATGGAGCTGCCAACTACTTCGACGGCAGGGGCTGCTGGGAGCGGGCCGTCTGCCGCGCCGGCCGTCGAGGCACCTCAGACCAGTGAACCAGCGCGTCCCGTGGCCGCCGGCGACGAAGAGCCCGAGGAACCTAAGGGCGACGAGGGTGTACTTGACGTAGCCAGCATCGTCACGGCGGGCAACGCGCGCGACTTTTTGGCCAAGAAGGAGAAGGAGAAGCAAGAGAAGGGCAAGGGTGGCAGAAAGGGCAAAGCTGCTCAGGAGGCAGAGGCTGCCAAGCCTGTCCGCCTGCCCAACTCGAAGCGCACGCACAACATGTTCCACTTTGAGGAGGTCATTCAGGAAGAGGTCCAGCCTCCCAAGAAGGATGAGCCCAAGCCGGAGGCCAAGGAGGAACCCAAGAAGGAGGAGGCCGGCAACCCCACCGAGTCCAAGGACGTGGAGATGACGGACAGCGCCGCCAAGCCCGCCGACGCGCCGGTCCCTGACGGCGAGTCGAAGTCGGCAGAGGCAACCCCTGCTGACCCTCCTGCGGCCACCGAGACGAACGGAACGACCGCACAGCCCGCCGCCATCCCCACCGAGACGCCTGCCGCCACCAACGGCGTCCCCGCCCCTCCCGAGAGACAGGCGAAGCGCGTGCGCCGCGACATCGAGGTCGGTCTGGAGCGGTTCACCTTTGCAGACCGTGGCGAGATTGACCGGATCGTCACGACCATCTACCGCACCGTCCAGAGCATTGACGATATGTACATCCGCCCCCTGTGCTGGGACAACATCATCTTCGTCGGCAACGGCGCCCGCCTCCGCGGCCTCAAGGACAACATCATGCAGACCCTGACGGCCCGCCACCTCATCTCGCCCAGCACGGCCACCATGTTCACCTCGGAGCTCCCCTCCAACATCGCCACGCCCACCGGCACCGGCGCCCAGACCCCCACCGGCTCCTTCACCGGCGCCCCTCACCAGCTGCCGCCCAACAGCTCCGGCGTCAACCCCCTGCTCCAGGCCGCCACCACGGCGTCGGCGCAGCACCAGGGCACCCCCGGCCCCGGCGAGGCTAACGGCACTCCCGGCGGCGCCCACCACTTCCACAGCCAGACGCCCACGAGCATCAAGCTGGCAGCGCTTCCCACCTACCTGGGCGAGTGGAACAAGAACGGCTTCGAGGAGGCCATGTTCCTCGGCGCGCAGGTCGCGGCTCGTATCGCGTTCTGCCAGCACAACCTGGACATGGCCGGCCTCGAGGCCCAGCGTCTGGCGAGCTTGAGCAGAATCGAGTACAAGTAAGTTTTCCCCCCATCTTGTTCTGACCACGCATTCACATACTTCACATACTGATACCTTTGTTTTACAGCGAGATGGGCCCCAAGGGCATCCGCACCCACTCGATGCTCAAGTAAGAGGGCAGCATGCTTCGTCATTGTTTTCTCAGTCATGGAAAGCCGGGCCAGCGCAGGCGTGAGGGATATTTGGGATAGTAAATGGTGAGAGAGAGAGAGAGAGAGAGAGAGAGGGAGGGAGGGAGAGAGGCGAAAGTTTTGGCATTGACACGGGCATTTTTGCTTGCCTTATACTGCTTGTCTTGTACCCCATTCCCAAAGGGATGGATATGAGATGTCGGCTTTACCGCGTTCTGGAGTTTTACGGACACATCAAAAACCCGGTGGTGTGAAGGCGTGGGGGACTTTTACTTTTTTTTTTTTTTTTTTCCTTTTCCTTGTTAATGAAGCTACCGTGCTAGGCTTGGCCATTCGCGGGGATTTACATAATGCTTTCCCTCCTTGATCGCATCCAGCAGGCAGCTTCTTCTCCGTCGGCCCCTCAAGGAGGAGGTGGAAAGGTTGCGCGATAGCCTCGAAGTTATAGAGGGGGAGGGGGCGAGTCGGTATTTGTACAATACTCTCAAGGCATAGATCATTCAGAACCACATTCAAGTTATGACCAAACCCAGAGAGGGTGTCTTTGATTGCCAGTACCCATCATCATTTTACCGCTAGTCTGCGCTGCCATTTTACCTGTTCATCATTTACGAGAGCTCCCGCTGATATCTCGTCATCTCACAACGCCTCCACAGTCGCTCTCCCAGCAACAATTAGCTCCTCATACCAATTCTCTCACCTGCTCCCGTCATCCGCTCATCTCAAAACAACATGACACCCGCGCATATCTCAAACATCCTGCTCCGACTTGCCAGCGGGGTTCCACTTGGCCTGGCAGGTAGGGCACTTGGTACCCCAGCCGCTGCTCTCGTGTGCGAATGTAGCGAAGCATCCGGTGTGGGCATGGTGGCCGCAAGTACTGCAGCATACCGTCTCCAAGTCGCCGAAGGCCTGGTAGCAGACGATGCAGTCTTTGCCCTCCTTGGACTTGGGAACGCCATCCTTGAAGGCGGGGTCGTTGTCGATCTCGGCCTGGGTAGGGCGGATCTTCGGGGCGCGAGCAAAGATCGTGGCGAGCTCGTCGTCAGAGATTCTTCTCTGAGGGAGAATCTCGGCAGGAGCGCGCAAGACGTGCGTAAGGACGTCTAGAGCACTGGTAAGCAGATGCTAGTGATGCTGAGATGCGTGGGACTCACAGATGACATGCTTGCAGTTGCTTCGCGGGTTGAATTTCTTGCAAAATGTTAGCAGCTGTACTTTCATACTTTGATTGATGTAAATCACTCACGGCAGCGGAACAAGTGCACGACGTCTCATGCGCAATGGTGACGGTGTAAATGTCGGCGCCGGCTCCACGAACAGCGAGCGAGAGCCGATTCGGGTCACCCCACTCCTCGTTGGCGTACTGCTTGATGATGTACATGCGCTGGGTCATGGCCTTCTTGGTCGACATGATGTGTCTATGGTCATTGACAGGGACGCCGTTGCGTGGCTTCTTCGTGCTCTTGGGAGTGGAGCTGGCGCCCTCATCGGCAGGATCAAAGCCCTCGGCGGCGGGGCGGACGTCGACTGTCTGGCCGTCATAGTAGGTCTGCCAGTTTTGCAGGCGGTTGACGAGGACCTGCTTGCGGCCGTCGGTGGGAACGTTGCGCATCATGAGCTGCTCCTTGATGATGTCGACGGAGAGCTCAGACCAGTCGGTTCCGTCTGGAAGGGGGCCAGTCTTGATGCCGTACGTGCCGCGGCCGAACCGGGTGAGGCGAGGGATGTCGGCGGGGTATTGGAGGGGCTTCTTGGGTGTCTTCTTTGGGGTCTTTTGGGAGCCCCCGAAGAGGGTCTCCGGATCATCCATGTCCATCTGAGAAGACGACATTGTGGAGGGAGGTGAGGGTGGCTTCTGAGATCCTGCCGTCTGAGATCCCGCTGCAGGCAGGATCGTGCAAGCGTCGGGGACGTAAGAGGTAGGGTCAATGGCTCGGATCGTCGCGAAAGCCAGAGGTGACTTATGTACACGACTGTCCAAGGTTTTCCGCAGTGTGTTGGTGTGAAAGTTGGAAAAGACAGGCCGAGAAGGTGAGACGGGGGTGAAGTATTTGAGCAGCCCGGCAGGAGCAGGCTTCCTTGGTGGCCACCCTCTCATTCTGGAAGGTGCGGCGAACCCAGCCGGTGGTCTTGCCAAAAAGGCAGACATGTTCGACCAGTTTCACTTGTTGCAACCATTCAATGGAGCAACGATCCCAAAGATGTTTCAAGCAATCGATTTCAACAGAACGTCGTTGCAAGGGCCAAGGTGAAGTTATTCCCATTCACAACGCACGTATCAACCCCGCGCCTCATATTTGATTTCTGTGCCATATCAATCGACGAACTCAAAGTCTTTCTTCCATGTCATCTGAACTTGATGGCCACTAAAAGCTGTAGCGAATGGGATTTACCTAGAACTGTCGTCAATTGGTTCTCGGTGAGTGCCGGTGCTGTCGGTGTAAGGAGTCCCTCGTTGGCAGGGGTCGCACGTGGCGCTGATGTTTCCCAAGAGACCGTAGAAAGACAAGTGCCGGGGGTGCGTTTGACATTCTCATCTCCGCTTTTGACTTTCGCGCAGGTCGTAGCTGACCATACTGAGCCATATACTTCTTTTGCTATTTCCCACAACGTCTCCTCTTGAAACGATTGACTCACCGTGGAAAGGAAAATTCCGGCGCTGCGTTGGTGTCTGCTGCTTTTTTGGCAGCTGAAGCCTTTGTCCCAATCTGGCATGTCAGGGTCATGAAATGGGGTCCTGATTGGCTTCACCTAGCTACCCTGTCTAATTCTCGGCAACCCCTGTGCATCAAGTGACTCAACAGCAGCAGAAGCCCGCTTGACCTCGTCCCCTCTCTTCCACCATTCCCTCTACTGCGTGGTGTCAAAGTATTCAAGGAACTAGACTTCGGCCAACCTCTTCATCCCACACTCGTTGCCCAATACCCTTCTCTCACCCGTCCTCATCCTATCCCACCATGACCAGACGAAACATCAGTTCGGGCTCGGCCTTTGAGGCACAAATCGGCTACTCCCGCGCCGTGGTGTCGGGCGACCTCATCTTTGTGTCCGGAACAACGGGGTACGTTGCCCGTTTGAGAATTTGCGGCAGGGAACTTGACAATGAGACAGGTACAACTATGAGACCGGCGTCATCTCGCCCAATATCGTCGAGCAAACCGAGCAAACAATGGAGAACATCGCTGCCGCTCTCGCTGCGGCCGGCGCGGAGATGAAGGACGTTGTCCGCGTACATTATATCTTGCCCGACCGCAACGACTTTCAGATGACTTGGCCTGTTCTGCAGAAGTGGTTCGGCGATGTGCGCCCGGCTGCCACCATGATTCAAGCCGGTCTGATGGAGGAGGCCATGAGAATTGAGATTGAGGTCACGGCTAAGAAGGAGTCGGCAGCTTGAATTGAGCCAATGTGAACAGACTGGAAGGAGCCTGCCATGTAAATAAGGCCAACCTGCTGGTAAGATCGCACATGTAGTTGACATCAGACGCCAGCGACTTCGCGATCAGACAATGAAGACAGATGGCTGTAGCTCACGTGTAGGCCACACCACCATCCATGTGTCAAACGTGCAGCAGTCGGCCGCTGCAGTGAAAGACATTGTAGCCTCCCTAAGAATGCAATGGTTTCTGGGCTCTTCAGACGAAGTTGAGACGGGAACTGACATCTGGTCGGCGACCATACAAAGTCCCGACTCTTCCGGTAACTACGGTTGGCTAGGGCCACGACTAGCTTCTGTGGTCGCCGACCTCCCAACATGACGTCCACCTTGGGTTTCCCGCATACCACTGCAGAACCCCGGGTTTGTACGACTTGGGCCACACAGAAGTGGCTGAGACACGGGTAAATGTTTCAGGAAATTTCGCTATGATTGCCGCTATGCAAAAAGAAGGATGACTACAGATGTATCTAGTGGAAATATGAGGCAATCAGGGCTCCCGCGCCAAACATGTACATGATGGTGACAAAACTGGCTGTAGAAAAGATGGAAACGCCACTGAGACCATGACCGGATGTGCAGCCTCCCGCTATTCTGGACCCGAGACCAATCAGGAACCCGCCTGCTGCAGCGAGCTCCGGCGACACGGCCGTATCCGCGGCGCCGAGCGCAAACGACGGGTACGCATTCGCGAGGGCCCAGGCACCCGCGGCCAGGCCGGCGGAGAAGAGAATATTGCTGTACGAAGACGGCTTGCCCTTCTCACCGCCGCCCTGGACAACCCACCAGAAGTATCTGCCAATCTCGTCGTAGGATGTTGACACGCCCAGCATGGACTTGCGTGTCAACAGGGAGAAGAGTTGGGCGAGACCGATGAAGAGGCCGCCAATGGTGGGCGCAACGACGGCATAGGGGCTAGCCGGGGTGTACTTCATCGTAGCATAGATGACGCCGGCGAACACGGCCTCGATGCCGATGAAGGAAGCTGCCCTGCTAATACCAGCGCGCTCATAGACGGTGAGCTTCGGGTTCTCCGGGGCGGCTTTGACGGCGTTGGACGTAACGGCCTTTTGGAGAAAGCCGGTCCATGCGATGCCCGCCGAGACGGCGCCAGCAAGAACGTAGATGCCAGACTGCGTGCCCACCGCGATCTGGGCCAGAACGGTGCCCGGGCAGGAGCCGGAGAGGGCCATGCCGGCGCCGAGGATTGAGCCACCGAGGATGTTGCCGTCGTACTCGGAGAAGAGACCCAGACGAGAGGGGCTGCGGGGCTTAGGGCGGACGTAGCCGAGCTTGTCCAGAGTGACGACGATAAGTCTGGTCAACGGCGTCAGTGACGTCTTCATGCACGAGAGAAGGAGGCGCAGCATACGTGCTACTGGCGGCCGCCGCGAGGAACGCTTGGATCATGTGCCAGTTCTCCAGCTTGAGCTGAGCAATAATGACGGAGGGCTGATATACGCCCGCTCCCACCAGAGCGGCACCGAAGGCGGCGCCTGACAAAACGGTGGCCATGGTTATGGTTGGTCGCGAGTTTACTGAGATGAGCCGGGTTGGTGCGAAGCAGCGCAGGACTTTACATGAGAGGTCGCCGAAACGACTGAAAAACCTGATGATGCGTGGAGAGAGTCTATCTTCAGACGCCAAATCTCGTTAGGCTTGTCGGATGAACTTATACGGATTGCAAAATGTGTAAAACGAGAACGAGACTGCAGTCAGGGGAAAAGGCCGCCGGACGGAGGAAGTCTCCGTTGATTACAGAATCAAGCCCGAGAGGCCATGAGCGTCGGGGACTTGGAAGAAAGTAATGGTTAATAATGGCCTAAAAATATGGTGGTTTCGGTAGCGGGGCTCCATTTATTAAACCCCGTCGTCGCAAACGCCGCGCTTCCCCTGTGACCTAGGTGAGCTCCCACCCCAGCAGAGGGGTCCCTGCCAATGGGGCGACTCCGTCGGCAGTGTTGCCGTCCGCATCTGCGTTGTGGCAGTCCGGGTTCCTTCGCATCGGCCGTTGGTTCGGTTCTTTGTGGACGTAGTCCTAGATTCGAGAGATGGGTGGCGTTGAGTTAGTCTTGACTCGGCGCCCATTGCGCCTTCTTCACCCCCGCTAACGACATGGCGCTAGATGATTCCAAAAAACCAATGCTCTGGATGAGGGAGCGCTGCTTCGGATATTCGGGAAGGCTTGTTCTCGCAGGAAAGCCATGCGACAACTGCAATGGGAACTGGGCATCATGATGTGGAACAATTGAATAGCCAAGGAGACAACGATGCATCAGTGTGGGAGGTCGGCATTCACCAGCCAGAAGCCGGACAGCGAAACTTGATTGGTGAACCAGAGTCGCAAGGGGATCAATAAGGTTGCATCAATGGGCAGCGCTCCCTCACTGGGGTGTACCTTGATAAGTATGCTTTCTCAGGGTTGAAAGTCCCCGAGACCTGGAGCACCGGTGACCGTTTCCACTCCAGGTCGCCGACGTCGGGAAACACTCCGGGGGCACGGGCGTCGCCGGAGAGTGGGTCCCGCTCACCGGGATGCTGCCTCCAAGGACGCGCTTTTGCGGGGCTTTGCTCGGTGACCACGGCGTCAACGGTCGGAGGAAGATGGCGTTGATAGACGGCGAGGCTTATGAGATATGTTTCGACGTCTTGTTATAAGACTCGGTTGAGAGGTCGCCTTGATTAAGACCTTGCGACGCACTCCTACGCAATACCGAATGAACCGCATCCAAGTTCTAACAAAACATATTCAACCGCAGAACTACCCGAAAATGGCTCCAGAACCAATTATCCACGAAATCTTTGAGCCGGTGACAGGTACATGGCAGTACATCGTCGCTGACCCCTCCACCAAGGCAGCCGTCATCATCGATTCCGTTCTGGACTTCGACCCGGCCAAAGGCGCAATCTCCACAAAGACCGCCGATGACCTGCTTCAAGTCATTCGCGAAAAGGGATACAAGGTCGGCATGATTCTCGAGACGCATGTCCACGCCGACCACCTGACGGCGGCCAAGTACCTGCAGTCCCGGCTGCGGGAGGCGCAAGACGGCGCAGCGCCCGAGATCTGCATTGGCTGGCGGATCGGAGAGGTGCAAGAGAGGTTCGCAAACAAGTACGGCATCGCTGAGGAGGAGTATACCCACGCCTTTGACCGGCTATTCGACCAAGATGAGGTCTTCAGTATCGGCGGATTAAAGGCGAAGGCCATCCATCTGCCGGGCCATACCCCTGACCACATGGGGTATATGGTCGGAGGTAGGTTTCCCATGAGCAGGAGTTTGAAACGGGCACTAACACGCTGCAAAGCGAACGTCTTTGCGGGCGACTCGCTCTTCAACCACGACGTCGGGTCCGCCCGTTGTGATTTCCCCGGCGGCAATGCTCGAGACCTCTTTGCTTCGGTGCGGAAGCTGCTTGACTTGCCTGAAGACACCAAAGTATGGACAGGCCATGATTACCCACCAGACGGCCGGGGCCCCGTAGCGGCGACCGCAGTTGGCAAGCAAAAGACTGACAACAAACATCTCGGCAACGGAGTCAAGGAGGAGGAATTTGTCAAGTGGCGCGAAGGGAGGGACTCGGGGCTCGGCGAGCCCAGGCTGATGCACTGGGCTCTACAGATCAACATCAGGGCCGGCGAAATGCCCAAACCAACCAAGAGCGGCGACCGGTTGCTGCATGTGCCCGTCAAGATGCAGGGCGTGAGTTGGTGATTTCGAAACTTCGGCAGCATGATGCCACTTTCTCTTGAATTTACATAAGTAGGTGTAGATTAGCGCGTCTTCAAATATTATAAACAATACCAGTGCAGACGTCGCATTTTGCTCGTTATCAGGTGTGAGTTCCGGTTGGTTGACAACATGGAAAGCCGACGATGGGCTTCAGCAATGTTCACCCCAGGTGGCCCATGCGCTGGAGCTTCTCTTAGCGCACAACCCCCCGAAAATGCCGAGGTTCCTCACGGCCGTCAGCGTCATTCAATGCGGGGGGCCGGTCCCCGGCTGTGTGGAGGTTGAGCCGGGGAACGTCCATCTCCCCCACGCAATTGCACCGTCTCCGCCGGGATTGGGACACACGGCATTAATAATCATCACTGAACGTGCAACTTCATAAAAACGCAATCTCATCATTCTCGCTTGCAGTGGACCAAACGGTGTCAATTACACGCAGCAGAAGACCAAGAAGACTTATACTCAAAAGACTATTACGATGCCGTATTCAATCACGGTCAAACAGATCGAGGGAAAGCCCGGGAAGGTTTACTACCCGTAAGATACAACTCATCTGCTGGTCGGTCTCATGATGGCTTACACGAAAAAATAGTCTGCAACTCAATGAAGTCCCGAAACCCTCCCCAGGCCCGAAGCAGGTCTTGGTGAAGCTGGCTGCGGCGGCACTGAACCACCGTGACCTCTTCATCCGGCGCCATCTTTACCCCGGCATTTCGTTCGATCATCCACTCCTCGCAGACGGCTACGGCTACGTTGTCGAGGTTGGCGAGGGTGCCAGCAAGGACCTCCTGAACAAGCCCGTTGTCATCACTCCCAGCCGTGGTTGGGCCTCGAGTGCCGATGGTCCTGAGGACGCTCGCAAGTTCAGTGTGATCGGTGCAACCAAATTGTACCCTGACGGCACCGCACAGGAGTATCTTGCTCTCCCCGAGGCCGAAGTTGAACTGGCACCAGAGCACCTGACGCCAGCCGAGGGAGCCGCACTACCCCTTGTAGGCCTCACTGGCTGGCGTGCGTTGGTCACGAAGAGCGGCAACGCCGAGAAGGGCAGAAACATCCTCGTCACGGGCATCGGAGGCGGCGTGGCGCTCCAAGTATTGCAGTTTGGCGTGGCGCTCGGCTGCAACGTCTATGTCACCTCGGGCGACGAGGCGAAGATCGAGAGGGCCAAGAAGATGGGCGCGGCCGGCGGTGTAAATTATAAGGAGGACGGCTGGGAGAAGAAGCTCCAAGGCCAGCTTCCCAAGTCACGTCCTTACCTTGACGCCGTCATCGATGGTGCCGGAGGCGACATTGTGGGCAAGGCCGTCAGGCTGCTCAAGCCCGGCGGCGTCATCAGCCAGTATGGCATGACCGTGTCGCCGCAGATGGACTGGTTGATGCAAGCGGTGTTGAAAAACGTGGAGCTGAAAGGCACAACAATGGGCTCGCGAGATGAGTTCAGGGACATGGTTGCCTTTGTCAGAGAGAAGAAGATTCGGCCGATTGTCAGTCGGACAGTCAAGGGACTGACGAATCTCGAGGGTATTGACAGTCTTTTCAAGGACATGGAGGCTGGCAAGCAGTTCGGTAAGCTGGTCGTTGAGTTTGACGGGTCTACTGCGACGTCAACACCCAAGTTGTAGATGAGTTAGTAGAAAGTGCAATTCGAGCGCGTCCTAGCTTTTTGTGTTTGCTGTCCACGTATCGCCTGCCGGTGTTGTTCTTGTCCCACAGTAAGAAAACATCACAGAGTCCTCGAACTCAGCTGGCGTGCTTGGCGCTGTCATTTCAGAGTTATCTGACGAACAATTTACAAGTGCTCTTATGATGTCTAGACTCCGGGTTGTGGAGAGACTTATCATTATTTGTTGTCATGTTCCTATAGGGCTCTTCCGAATAAGGTAAGGTCCACCGTGGCTGTTCTGGGAAGGAACTCTTGGGAGGTCCTTCCCAGTTCAACTCACCAGGAAGGATATTTAAACAGTGAACTTCGACAGCAATAGTCAAAGCTTCCTCCTGAATGTCAACATGCCCAGATGCATGGTTACCCACGAAGTACTACAGAACTGCAGGGGCCATCTCATCTTTGTATGAACTGTTTCTCTTGTATTTTCTCATCTGCTGGGCATCGGCTAGCCATCCTTCTCACATTGAACAGTGAATTAGTTTCACTGTGCTGGCTCCTTCCTTCCCCTTTGATACAAGGACGTTGCTCCTTCCTTGGAGTTGTTGCACACCCCGCTTAGAGCCTTCCTTCACATCTCACCTTTGGTCGCTTCCTTACACCCTTTCTTCACCCACCCTACCTCACTCACAATTATTCCTTCTTCCACCTCACCTCCCTCTCCCAGAGACTTTCTCTCAACAACACCACTTCCCCAAAGAATCACAACCACTGTCGACAGAACGCATCTAGCATCATCCCTTCAAGATGCGGCACAAGGCCTTCCTCGCCATCTCAGCTGCAGCCCTCATGCTTTTCATGGGTGTGAGTGCCGTTGCTATTGATGCCGCTGTTGCCATCACCAGCAACAGCAACTTGGAGCACGGCAACAACGATAACCTCAAGCAACCCGTTGCTCCTGCCCATATCAACACCAAGCGCGCCTACGACTTCACTGACAACTCTGCCTCGTCTATCAAGTCCGCCCCTGCTGTCAACTTGGGCAAGGTTCCTTCCCAGCTTACTCTCGGTCCCCACCTCGCTCCTGCCACCTTCCACCATGAAAACCCTTTCAACATCACTGAGGAGGAGGCCATCAAGCGCGGCATCAAGCTGATCCCCGTCGACCCTGAGCACTGGAACGCCCTCCTGACCGCCTCCAACCTCAACAACGCCACCAGCAGCCCCGACATCTCCGATCTTCGCCGCCGCGAGGTCGACCCTCCCGACCCGACCGACTGGTGTACTCCGAACAAAGACCCCAGCCAGTGCATGTTCGGCGCCTGGTGCCACGAGATGAGCAACAGAGATGTCCCCAACCGCGCCTGGGTCTTCTACAACGATTGCGAGCTCACCGGCGACCTCCACCCTTGGACTTGGGGCGTGTGGCACGACATCTTCTCCGGCCTTCGCTGGGTCACCGTCTTCTTTATCAACCAGATGCGCTACCCGACGCTCAAGTACGCCGGCCGCGAGTGGGGCAGCTGGGACGACGGCTGGGAGCTCTACTACCCTTACGGAACGATGGGAATGTACTACTACCGTCGCTACTTTGACTGCTCTGGTTAAAAGTCGCAGATGGAACCGATACGCTGATGAATACGTCGAGAGAGAATGTGCTTCATGGACCAAGCGCCGGCAGGCATTGCCAGCGTCCTGGACCGGGAAGAATCAAGATCGGAGATGCGCAGAAAGAAGTTGCTTGGACAAGGGATTTCGTTGGAAGCCGAAGTCATCGTGGTTCTCTAGGGTAGCTTGGTCAACTTTATTCACAAGTCCACTTCATTACATATACACACACCCTGCTAGTGCTCCCATCGTGACATTGCACGCTCTGATGTACAGCTATTGACCTGATGCATCTCCAGCAGTCTGCCACTGCTGACGTGAGAAAGCTCTTGAAATCTTGAATGGAAGGGTATCTTGGGCGAGCTACCATCTCACCAATGTGCGCGGCGACCCCTTTTCTGCGGAGATGCAACAGGCGTCCACCACTCCAATCTACATGATAATTTCCACCACGCTCAACAACGACGCCCCTCACTCGTCGTCCTCGCTCTTCTTTCTCTTCTTCCTCTTGTGGCCCAACTCTTCGGGCGGAACGAAATCCTTTTCCCTCTCGCGCAGCTTCTCCTCCTTCTTCTGCTTCTGCTGCTCGATCCTCTCGGCCTGGGCGGCCTTGGCCTTGGCCTCCTTGCCCAGGAAATACTCTCCCGTCTCGATCTGCTTGTCGACCTTGCTCTTCTCGGGCGCCGGCGGGAAGGGTGTGTACGTCTTCTTGGCCTTGTCGGTGACCTTGAGCGGCACGCGTCTCTTGCTGAGCGTCTTCTTCTTGAAGTTGGGCAGGAAGCGGTCCCAGCTCTCGCTCGCGAGCTCCGGGTCCTTGGCGAGCTCGCGCTTGATCATGAGCTCCTTGATGTGGTAGATGGGGTGGATGTTGTTCATGCAGTCCTCGACGACGCGGCGGACCTCCTTCAGGCCCTTGTAGGGTCCCATGACCGAGACGGTGCTGCCCTGCACGAGGATGTAGGTCTGGGTGAGCAGCTCGAGGGCCTTGAGCGTTGAGCCGTTGGGGCCGAGGATGCGCTGGCGGCGCTTGACGTAGCGCTCCTTGTTGCGCACGAGACTGCGGATCTTGATGACGTCGCAGGCGACGCCGTCGTCGAGAATCTTGATGGCCTGTGGCGCGGGGACGCTTCGAGCGAGGAGCTTGATGAGGTCGCGGGCGTTGAGGATGGCGGCGGGATCGAATGTTTTTCTTGTCTCGTGTGTTAATGGACTTGGTCGTAAAGACTGTGCCAGGGGACGAGACAGTCTCTTACCTTGTCGTCTTGACGGTCATGGAACCTTCAATCAAGTCGAGCGAGCAGGCAATGCCGTGCTTCTCGAGAGACTTGGTGACGAGAGGCCATGCCTCCTTCAGGTAGACTTCGCGGTACTTGGGGAAAACAATCGCAAAGGACGATTCCTCGGCGAAAGTGCCGCCAGCATTGTCGGCAGGAGTGAAAGGGTCGACCTTCCACTTGTCGATATCGTCCGTATCCCACGGCTTGTCCTTCTTGTATGTGGAGGGCATCTTGGCGGATGTCGTGTGTGATTGATTGAGGATGGATGCTGCGCCTGTCCGTTTCGAAAAAATGCGGCGGCAGTACAAGCCATCGAAAAAAAAAGATTCTTATCGATAAAAAGTATAAAAGCGGGGCGCTCTCGGTCAGCGGGAGCACCGTGGGCTCACCGAAGCCACCTAAGGTCCACCTAGGTACGAAGAGTCAGGTTTGAATCGTGTTGCCAACTAACAAAATGTGTTCATGCTGTTTCTCTAGAGCCTCTCCTCGTCCAGTTTGATCCAATTGCTTAGGATGATTGACTGAGGGAGTAGCTTTCTCTCGGAGAAGTTACCGCTGTCTACAGTGATTTCCTTGTTTCCTTCTTTCTCATCATCTTTCATGATGAGTTCCAGACGAACATGTCTTTTGAGTTCAGTCCAAGGCGACACCAATTACCTTCTATCTTCTTAACAATAACGAAATGGCAGGTATCAGCTGATCTGACTCCTGCCGCCAGCATCGACCATTCCGTGTTAAAGTCTGTGGACACATGCAATGAAGGCCCCCTCTCAATGATGGCATCAAGCTCACCTAAGATACCGAAAGCCGGTCTCCGAGCATGATAGCCAAACATGGTGATCACCTACATCCACCATTGGTCAAGTTTGGAGCTCCTTGAACGTCTTCGGCATTATCGGCGATCAGATAACGGCACTGCTTCTCCCACACAGCAGGGGCGTTGATATGCCCCTATTACGTTGACAAAATCTCAACTTGACCCATCTCAATCTGCACAATAAGGCTGAGGGGCACTCCACCGAGAGTGCGCATCCGGTCCAATCATTGTGCATCTTCTGTCAGTCCCCGGACTACAACTAAGCAGAGAAGCGTGATAGGCCAAGCTGTCGCGCAGGGAGTAATTTGCCTTACTCTCGTTAAGGGGACGAAATGGTAACACACCATCGTGGTGCCTGACTTTCCAAACACACTTTCAAGAACCAAAGCGGTCACTTAATGTCTAAGACCTGGTTGTCAGAGCTTCACCGATTTATTTCCCCGCCAAATTGAACTACTTTCGCAGGTGCAACCCACTGTGCGATCGATCGACGCGCTCTCGACTTCTGAGTCGCTATCCGGACCGTGCTCACCTGCAGCAACTAATTTTTTTTTTCCTTTTCCCCTGCCCTGCTTTCACGCATCTCTGTCCCGCCTGAGCTGCGCGCGCACCTCCACGTCTCCTGCAACATCGAATTCGGCGCAGGCTTACCTCGACACATCAGACGAGACTCTCACAAGCCAACACGTGGTTCTCTTTGCTGAGAAATTTTCAACTCCACGCGCAAGAAGACGATCTCGACCTCGCGCAGCCTCGATACCTCCTTCTCCACACACGAACGCGATCATCCCAGCAATCGCACGGCCGACGCCTGCTCTTGCGCCTACGTCGACGTCCATCTCACAGACCAATTCAACCTCGCGAATTGGTCTTTTCATCTCACGATATCGGTCTGCTTTCATCATCAAAGTCAGCAACCTCGGAACCTTGATCGACTTGGTTCCACATCTCGTCTGCATCTCCTCAACGAAGCTCAACAACGACCGCCCTCTCCTTCTCAAGCGCACAGAGTCCAAAGCTCTTTCCGACCGACCATGGAGGAGGGCACAGCACTTTCCGGCCTCCCGCCGCCGCCGACGACCCTCGAGCCCATCTCCCGACCAAGTTCGACGTCAACATCGGCATCCGCTTCTCTGCAGCAGTTGCCAGGCATCTCGGCGCTTGCGCAAGCCAACTCCACGACGAGCTCGCCACAGTTGCGGTACGTGATATCCCAGGCAAGGGCGGACGGAGGAGCCGACATTGCGTCTTGCACCTTGCAAAGGCTATGCGCCCTCGTTCCGCGCCGTGGCCGATAAAGTGGAGGGATAAGAACTGATAGCTGGTGATCCACAGAACCGCGACTATTCCTGCGCCCGCGCCCGCACCCGCACCCGCGCCTGCGCCTATGACAGCACCCGCCGCGCCCGCGCCCACGCCGACTCCCTCTGCGCCGATGCAGCAGCCTACTTATGCTTCTCCGGCGGCCACTACCGGCGGAGGCTCCACTTCTGGCACTGTGAGTCCCTGTCCCTCTCCGTCGTCGTCGTCGTCGTCTCTTTCTCTGTCGCCGTCGTCCTCCGTCGTCCCCCATCGTCCCTCGTCGTCCCCCGTCCTCGTCGTTGTCGTCCCCCGCCGTCGCCTCTGTCTCCGATACCTATCTTGCAACGATACCACTTTCCGCGCCAAATAAGCGTTGTCGGTGGTTGGCTCTCAGTGGCCAGATAAGGACCCCTGCAAGTGTGGGGCCCGCGGGTTTATGTGGGTCTGATAAGATATTTTATCAACTCAACTCTGCTGCCCCCTTCAAGAAGCCCGCCCGTCCCATCATCGCGAAGTCGAAGTGCCATATCCCATTACACAACATTCAACACTCTTTTACAACAGAACACGCAGACGAGGGGATCAGAGACGACAGAGACGACAGCGAAGATGATGGCCACCGCTAACCAGGAGCATCCCACGCAGCCCACTTGCCAAAACTGCCAAACCTCCACAACGCCTTTATGGCGCCGCGACGAATATGGCTCGGTTCTCTGCAACGCTTGCGGTTTATTCCTCAAATTACACGGCCGATCACGTCCCATAAGCCTCAAAACTTAGGTTATTTCTCGCCGTTTTGACGTTCCTGAGAGTGCTAATATTGTCTGTAGTGATGTTATCAAGAGTCGCAATCGTGTGAAGACGATGCGCCCAGATCTCGCAAAGAAGAAGGTACGCGCGCGACCTCTTTCCAGCTGTGGGTCCACTGGCTAACATGGAGAAAGCAACAGCAACAGCAGCAGCAAGCCGCCAACTTCGCCGGCGCCGATCCGAACGGTATGGACCTAAACAACGCAGCGCGCAGGAAGTCCGCGAACGGCAATATCGACGGCTCGGACTCTCCAGTATCCCGTACGGCTACGCCTTCCCTCTACAACCCAAGCCTGCCTGTTTTCGGGAATATGGACGACTCCCAGCTGGGCTTCAACGTCGGCGCAGAAAACCGCTCCGCATCCCCTTTGAACGGCGACCGCCATCTCGACGTCCCGCAAACCCACGAACAGCTTATTGCAGCCAACTCGGCCCTGAAAACCCGCGTCAGCGAACTCGAATTGATCAACGAGCTCTTCCGCGGAAGGCTCAGCCAGATGGAGCAAGACGAGGCAAGCGCGAGGAGGGGGCAGGAGATTAGCGGCAAGGCCGAGGCGCAGCTACGATCGCAACTGGAGGCTAGTAACAAGCAACTGGAAGACAGCCATCGAAGGGAGAACAACCTCAAGAGACGCCTCGATGAAATGGAGCTGGAGCTTAAAGAGGCTAAGGAAGCTGCCGACTCCTCTTCCGAATCTGGTCGAGCCGCCAAGAAGCTGCGCGTTGCCGATATGGTGGGCGACTCGGAAGTTTCTACCCCTCAGTCAACTACCGCGTGAGGGGGGTGATGGACGACGGGGACGGACGACGGCAATAGGGATACCGGCGACGGGGATACCGACAGCATTGATACCGGCGACAGGGATACCGACAGCATCGATACCGGCGACGAAGGCGGCAGTGGGGCCGGCGGCGGCGGGGGCCGGAGTTGCTGAGCGCCGGCGGCAGGCGTGACAACGGCAGGCGCGACGGCAGAGGTGGGGCCGGCGTTGGTGTAGTGGCAGGAGTAACGGCCACTGCTACTTCCGCGCGAAAATCTCCCCTTAAAACGGAAGGAGCAATGCAGATGCAGGCTTCTTGCTCGATGCCTATAACTATAATTTTGCGTGTTTTTCTTTGCTTTTGCTCTTTCTCTTCATAACGTCTATGCTACGTTGTCTGTCCCACGGGGCAGATAACTACGAATGTTCGGGTCGCTAGAGAGTGGCAGGTAGGCGTTGGAGGCCTATTGGGTTCGAGTTACATTTTCAGGCCTCGGAGCGCTTGCGAGGCCTTAATCCAGGAAGGACTGAAAAAGGGGTGAAGTGTTAGGCGTGGCCCCTAAAAGGAGCCAAAAATCTCTTCTTTGCGTGGAGTATATAGGATGGATACCTTACCTTCCGTGCGAGGCTGCGGGAATTCAAAAAGTCTTTCGCGATTAAAAATAGAGGCAATAACGCATTACTATGACATGATGTATTAGTCATTAGGTCGTCTCTCTCGTCGTCGTCCTTCTTGCTGTCGTCCTTCTAGTGTGTGAAGGCCTCGTGCCGATGTTTCCTTCAGCTGAGGTACCTAGGTGGCATGACCGTCTTCTTGAACGAAGGAACCTGCCCTATCACTAAGAGTTTTGCTAGGCGAGCAGTGTCCGCTGCAAATGTAATCGTAAAACACGTGGCACTTCGACAAGGCGCGTGTAACGCTGAATCTATAGTACACAGTACGCCTTAATCTGAGTGCTCGCGAGGATAACTTCAATCGTAGTATATTTAGATAACGAAGGCCTTAGCTAGGCGAAGGAGGATAAGTGGCGATAAATTTAAGTACTCCTATAGTGATGAATAAATACTCAGTCCTAGGCTAATAAGGCCCTAAATAGGTAGATTACACGGATTATATATGTAATGTAGCCTGACTTGAGAGAGGGAACAGCTATGCGCGTGTATCGTGGGTAGTACCTAGCTAGCTAACAAACTCTGCCTGGGTAGCAAAACTCACTAGATATCACCTATGCGTAGATCTTGAAGGCGACTGAAGACGAGATGTTGAATAACTGAAATTCTGAGTCCCCTGATTTCACCGGGGCAGTTATCCCGCCCGCGAGGCTGGAGCTCACGAGCCCTGTCTCTGAGATTTACTCGGTCTCTACATGTAGTAATTCACCCTTCCGAGGGGAGGGGACTAACGTTGACGATCACCGCAAGGTCGACCGGGCGTTCTGGTGAAAGCACATTCTAGGCAGGGCTGCCTTACTTGTTCTATTAAGACTTCAAAGTAAAATGGGAAAGTATAATCAACGACATTAGATGCTGCCAAAATGTCTTCTGAATTGAAGAGTCTACTTGAAAAGGGCCCTCCCCGTAGTGCCTACGATGAACCACAGAGCCGCACCTCTTAGCTAACTTAGTTCGATACACACCCAGGAGAAGATGGACACTTCCCTCTACTTGCTGTAATCCTACGTCGGGGTTTCATGGGCCACGACACATGGTATCACGACACTTAGCCCCCATCGTCTCCTCATATCGATATCATTTCTCCTTGGATTATCATCGGATTTGACAGAACGCCGAGTCCCGTCGACAACGGCTGCCCGATATTTCCACCGTCACATACAGTAATACGCCATCAGTTGGCACCCACCAAGAGCCCGCACCCTGACTATTCAAGGGCAAATGGAAAGACGTTGGTACGATCAACGACCCAGTTCCCGTCGGGAGAATCCAGCACTAACGGCACTGGTTTAACCTAACAAATCATCAACTTCAACTTTTCATAGCGAGATCAACAGTGGGGAGTAGGTATGAACGGTCTGATCTCAAACGTATTGCAGAAAGGAACCTCAAGACTTAAATCAATACCTTGGATGCTTGAAAGACACCAAACCTACATTGTCGTGCATCAGAGCCTGCCATTGGCTTCTCTTGACAAGTACTTGAAGTGATTTATCAAATTGTTTGATGATAGATGTTTGTAGTCATGAAATAGACGATAGACTCCCTCAATCGTTGAGGGGTTCCAGAAGTGAAATCGCAGGGTAATGCTGTGAGTAAGACACAGCAAAAGACAGGCAGCGGATCGAAAGACAAGCATTTGTAATTCTAGCGGTATCAATAACAACAGTTCTTAATCAAGATGAATATGATGGTGCCCTTCTTGCAAATGACGATGCGACCTTCACGCAAGCATGGTAAGGGCATGAGGAGGTAAATCGCTTAAAAGATACTCCGAAGATAATAATGAGCGCAGCAAGGACAACGACAACAAGGACGACGACAACAAGGACGACGACAACAAGGACGACGACAACAGTAAGGACAGCAGTAAGGACAACAATAGCTAAGACAGTAATAGCAAGGACAACAGCAGTAAGGACGAGAGAGATAGCGACTAAAGGGACGATGACGATTATACAACAGAGGATGCCGAGGGGGACAAAGGCGAAATTTGTAGCACTATTTCTCACTTGTACACAGATAACAGCTCTTTTTCACAGATTACAGCTAATCTAATACATCACTTGTACTGCGGTAAAACATTACTTTCCAAGGGCATACAAGAGGTTGGCCTTGTGATTGCAACAGTAAAACAGACACCAATACAGAATTAATTGATCTGGTTGCGCTGTGGAGGGCTTCTCTGAAGAACGCTATGCGAATTACCTGACCTAGCTTCTTTATTCCAGCCTCGAGAATCCTCTATGTGTCTTCGCAGCTGCTGAAACGCGAGTGAACTAGTGACAATACCAGTGCCAGATGTGGGTGGCAATAGAGCTGGGCACCACATGTCTTTTAATCGTGAGGAATTTTCGTTGATGCAGCTTCCCTCAGCTGCGGCATGGTAAACATGGGCCTCGGCGCGACGGAGGGCAGCGGACCCCACAAAGCCGAGGGAAGTCGCTGGGAACAACGGCCAAACCGCCGGCGAAGAGGCAGGGATCCGTGTGCATCGGCGGCCCCAAAAAAAAGATAACGCAGAACGGGAGGGGAGGCCGGGATGCAGTGGAGAAACCGCTGTCACAGCGCAATGCGAACCCACGTTCCCCCGCCCCAGGTTTTCCCCGTCTGGGGCTTTTTTCAGCTCTTCCTCCAGTTCTCTCTCTGGACGACTTTGAGTTGTTCCATGGCTGATTGCCCCCAAGACTTGGCTCAATGTTTTGCATATCCCACACTTCGAGGCGGCGAATGCTAGGCAGGTCTTGACTTCCCTCGTCAACAGCCGAGCCGCCGCACCCCCTTGCGCCGTTCCTCGCATGGCCTCTATTCGTTTTCGTGTATGCAATGTCCCTTTCCGTCGAGCGGGCACGTCAAGCGGCGTTTCTTATCATTTCTCTTATCAGTAGCGCAGCATCCATCGGTTCGGTGGACAGGGATAGCTGCAGTTGGGGACTATCAGCAACGACACATCGGCCGTGCGTGGGAATTGTCTTATCTGTCAGACATTTATGTCTTTGGGGTTATCTGCGGGAGCCACTAGGAAAAAGCAAATGCGAGTCCCCTTGATTGCCTCCCACATTTAGAACTATAGGGCTCTCTCCCGCAGCAAATTCTGTGAACCCATGGAGAATTACACCAAGTGAGGCGCAGCAACGCCATGTAGAGCGCCTCGTGGGGTAGGTCGCGTTGGGTAGAGCAACAAGTGGCGAGGGCAAATTCACCCAGAGCCAGTGAGGGGAAGGGAATATGTAGCAAAGAATGTCCCGGGCATCTGGTCAAGATGGATTGAGGGGCAATCTCCCAGTCTTGCCCGCGAATTCCAGGTCTTGTGCGCCGAGGTCGAACGCTTGAGGGGGCCGAGAGTCAAGGCAATGTGCCATTGGCAAAAAAAATATTAGCTAGCGGATGGCGAGAAAAAAAAAAAGAGGCGAAGAAGTGCATCCTCCAATTGCCCCCTTGACCAGAAGGTGAGGCGACTTTGACGAGAAAAAGATCTCCCTACATCCATGGATTGGCCCTCGCGCGGGCGGCCCGTGGTCCAAAAAAGTCGTTCATGGGCTAGCTCGGACAGCCGGAGCACGCAAACGCGCAGCTTCGTAGCGTTAGGTTGGTCGGCCTGGCCCTGAGGGTGGGGTCTAAGGTACCTTAGGTAGTTCTGGCCCCTCCCCGGCCGCCGACGGATTAGAGGGAAAAGGCTGGCTGGGCCACTTTGCTGGGCGAACTTTGTCATGGAACTCAACGAAACTACGGTACGCTTCCCCTAGCACCAAAGATGCACGACCACCAACCAACGCGCTGCATCTTCTCCCACCTACATCCTTCCTGTGCCCGAGCGGAGAGCACCCCATGGGCGAGCTGGACGAATGGGGGAGAAGAGCGGAGGGAATCGGGGGATCGGACGGGAAAAGAGGGACGGTTAGAGTAACCGTGGCGTGCTGAAGTGGTGTGCCTGCATGGCATTTGGCCGGGCCGTACTCATTCATACACACACACAGAGCACAATATACATACAACACGACACCCACTCCGGTCCAGAGTTCGATTGCACGCACGCCCGCATTTATTTCGCCATTCGAGCTCTTGTTTTACCTGTTGATTCCAATCCCGCCCTTTGGGTGTGTTTTTTTCACTTTATTTACTCGACCCTGCCTGTGTGTCCGGCAAGTTGTGCACGTTTCAAGCTGAGCAGGGTGGAATTGGAGACTGACACCAGGGAGGAACGCGCAGGTCTGAGGCATCCCTCTCGTACCTGTGTCGTCCAAGAGACATTCCAGCAGAGGCGGCCGTCCATATCTCTACATCCCGGGCATGCATACATTCATGCCACAACCCCAGGATACGGCTGTTTTGACAAGATAACGGCC